ACATAACCTGCACAAAAAGAAGCAGTGACTTGGCAAGTGTTGGTTGCAGACCTGTTTTTATGGAGAAATCGCATTTTGGTGTAAACCCTAGAGAGCGCGGCAAACCAAACCAAAATCTGACCGCATATTGAAACTCTTCAATGTTGTATATCCTCCTCAATGTGTGTACTTGTGTTACACATCAGTGACTGTACCATGGCTGACTTGCAGTAAGCAAAGTCTCTTACTTTCCAAAAGACCACAGTGACACACTCATTCATTTAAAGCACACACACTTTCTTTTTGAGTCAAATTCAAAGGAGCTTTATTGGCATGACCATATCCAAAACATCGTATTGCCAAAGCATGTTGAACAAGGTGTTACAACTTACAACAACTAATAAGAACACTAAACGATTAAGGATACATGTGACACAACAGCCAACAATAACATGTAATCATAGAAAGTGTCATTCACTTTACCTACTACAGATATATAAAGATGGCGCCGGTGATGATGGCTGCCGTGTCTTTTGCTCCTCTCCAGCTCTGCCTTTTCCCCCCTTTATTTCAGTATTTGTCTACTTTTCATTGTGTGCTTTTAACTTTGTCCGCAACATGTGAGCTATTATATTCGATTTATTTTTTTATTTACTTGCACTATTATCTGTTTTATTGTGTTGCACTTTTGGAGGAGCCTGTGACCTAAGATTTTCATTAGGGATGTCCCGATCACCTTTTTTTGCTCCCGATCCGATTCCGATCATTTGATTTTGACAATCTGCCGATACCGATTTTTCCCGATCCGATCTTTATGCAATGCATTAAGAGGAGAAAAAAGGAGAAAAGCATTCAAGTTGTCCCTTAAACCCCACGTTCTCCACCACAGATAACGGCTGGTCATCCATCGCGATGAATTCAGCTATCTTGGCTGTTATTTTGTTGTCCTTTTCACTGTTCTGGGGCAGTTTCTCTTTCCTTTTAAAAGTCTCTGAAAGTGTCGGTTGTTTCAGTGCCGTTACCTGAGTGGCCGCTGTGTACTCCTCGTGTTGTTGTTGGTGTTTGTTTCTCAGGTGGCGTTTCTCTGTTCTTTCCACCACGCGGAACCTCCGCCTTGCAAACATTGCATCTGGCTGTTACACTGCCTTCGCTTTCAATTTTATAATACTTCCAAACTCCTGACATTTTCTCTGTCCCGACTCCCGAGTCACCAGCTGAACGTAGCCTCTCGTTAGCTTACTGCTACTATTAGACACTGCGCCCACTCTGTTGCCAGATTTGAGAGAAATAAGCAACCAGGTCTATGAAAACAAACCCAAAAGAAGCAACACATACATGATGTTGTGTAATTTTAAACCAAAACTAAGGCCTCAGGATGACTTTAAGACGTGAACATGGTCATTTTTGTTTTGTAACATTACATGAAATAATGAAAATATTTTATAAAAAAAATTCCCGATCCCCGATTTTTTTCTCCCGATTCCGATCATTTGAAAATCACGTGATCGGATCGGGACATCTCTAATTTTCATTGCCATAACTACACCGTAGCTATGTACAAATGACAATGAAAGCCTTGAATCTATTCCCTACCACCTCTTCCCACTCCCCCCGTGCTTCCGACAACCTCGAGGAATACATAAATACACTCCTCCTCCCCAGAGAGAGATTGTACAGAGCCGCTTTGTTGACAGTCTGCCTGCCAGTGGCTCAGCGCCCAGAGGCTCGGCTACCACCACTGACTGGGACCGCTCAGACAAGAAGAAGCCCGCCAGAAAACCAGTTACTCAACCCGTCTGCCGTCCTTCCTTCTGGGACATTTCCCCTAAACAGGCTTGGCAGCGGCAGGCTTTTGTCACACTGACGGAGGGTAGATAAGGCCATCGGACAGAGACAGTGTCAGACTTTAATACTTGTGCTCCTGATATGATGGTGATTAGATGGTCACATTGGTCTCTATCCAGCTTCTATATTCAAGGATTCAAGACTTTTATTGTCATTTGTACATAGCTACAGTGTAGTTATGACAATGAAAATCTTAGGTCACAGGCTCCTCCAACAGTGCAACACAATAAAATAATACAGTAGAAATAGTGCAGAATAGTCTATATTAGGGCTGTGCGATTATGGCAAAAATCATAATCACGATTATTTTGGTCAATAATTGATATCACGATTATTAAATACGATTATTCATTGACTTTGAACACATCCATTTATTGAACTTTAAAACAAATACAAATAATAATTTGAACAGTATCTTTTTAACTGTTGATTACCCTGAACGTATAATTCAACTGAAAAACCAATACAAAAATAAATGATACATTTATATTTACATTTAAATAAATAATATCAAAAATAATAAATACCAATAAACAAGATCAACAAATATTTTGGAGCGCACTTCCCCAAGCTACTAAACATATGTAAATATGATAAATACAAATAAATTAGACTAAAATAAATTAGATCAAATATGTTGCAGTGCACGGTCACAACCAAGCAAAGCAAGATAATCGTTTTTTACGATTAGGTTGTTTTCGTAATTGTGGCAGGCCAAAATCGTAATTGCGATTTTAAAATACGATTTAATTGTACAGCCCTAGTCTATATACAAGTAATTTTAATATTGATATATATAAGTTGCAAACAGATGAATGTTATGGATGTTCAGGTGTTTAACAGTCTTATGGCCTGAGGGCTGAAGCTGTCATATCATTCTAGGTTGAATCGATTATCTTTTATGACCATGTTGATCACAGATTCCTTCACATAAAATAAAACGTTTCCACTTTCTTAAATGTAAATAGCGTGACATGTGTTAGTTTGATTTTGTTCCACCTTGCAGTTCTGTTTGTTCGCGTTCAAGGTGTTTTTCACAAGTCCCTTTTTAACACGTGCCCTCAATCCCTAATATGGTCCGCAACACATCTTGCTTGAGGTCATGTGTAAACGGGAGCAAGGGTTGATATTCAGGACAATCTGTATCCCACCGGAAATCCTTATTTTTAAGGGGGAAATGGCTATGTTGTGAATAGATAAGATAAGAAGTTTAATGTTTGTGAATGAAAGCGGCACCATTGCAGATGACGATATCATTGACGTTGGACACTTTCACAAAGAGCAAGCAAACCAATTACAACACTGCTGAAGATGTAGTTGCAATTATTTGAGTTTAATGTATGTAATTTCTGATTCAAGAAGTCAGTGAAAAAACATTCCTTGTTTCGCAACTTGTATTATATTCAATCCCTTATAGCGGACAGAAGCAGCTCTTGCCTCCCATGTTCCTGGAAGTAATAAGAGACTTTTTCCACAGCGTAAATCTACATTGCATACCCCCCCTCCTGCTTCTTCTTTCGTTGAGTTTTATGGCGGTGTTGAATTATCGCCTGCTGGTTGAACTGCCCCCTCAGCCCATCCCTCGTCCACATGCCATTCCAGTGGCATGTTTGACAAGGCGAAAGACGGGAATGTTCCTGAAAGCAACGCTGGTGTGAATAGAGAAGTCACTTGCGGTGCCTCAAAGGTCATCCCTGTCATTTACTGGGAACTATGTGTGACAGAAGCTAAAGATGTTACACGATCTGGAGGACAAATGTTGCCCAATGTGTAACGGGATCATCGTCAGTTGTCTCCCTCGGTTAAGTTAGCTGGCGTGCATTTAAAACGTGGTGTTATTTCAGACTTAATAATACGATTCAGTGGGGACATTTTTCCTGCAGTGTGTTATATAGGTTTGTGTGCATGTAAATGGTCTGCAGAGGCTGAAATCACAAAGTTCCCTTCAGCTGGAGTTTATTTTAATTTGGTCTTTATGGAAATATTACTTTGATTCCTTATGTGTATGTCACTCATATAATGAAACCCAAATATGATCTCTTATTGCACCGTTTTACTTACGGTTTTATCACTTATTTTACTTTTATTTCTATTTTATAAATTCTAAAATGGAACAACGGAAACCAATTTCTCCCGGGGATTATTTAAGTATTTCTTATTCATATTTTAGGCTCTTTTTCTTCCATATATATCTGTTCTGAATATAGTTTTACAACTGATCTAAAAAGAATTTCAACTGTGTGGCACTTGTTTTCTTTTGTACAGTTTGCAAAACAACAAATACGCTTAAATGTAAAGAAAAATGTGCCATCTGTTGCATTGGAAGTAATTCAGTCTGCAGGTTATTGTTTGTATTAAGAACACATCGATCATAGGTAGGGATGGGTATGGTTAGGATTTAAACTGTACTACTCCTCTTACCGATACTGCTTATCGACCCGGTGCTTTAATGGTATTTTTATCAGTTATTTTGTTAAAAAATGATTTGAGAACCAACACTGCTGTATTTTATGTAATAAGAAATATGACCTATTTTTTTTTTATAAGAAACCTGGTAAGAATGGAGTGTATCGATACCACAGTCTGTAAAAATGTAGCCTGGTGCCTGTTTAAAGGTCACCTATTATGCAAACTCCACTTCTTCATGTCTCTTCTACATCAACATGTGTCCCCTCTGTGGAAAGAGACTCTGAAAGTTTCAGGAAAAAAGATTCTCTCACTTTTTGTCCTGATCCATTTTTATAAAAACCTGTCTGAAAATGAGCTGATCAGATTTTGGCCACTTTATGATGTCATAACGATTTGTTGGCTTGTGTAACCATTAGCCAATCACCCCCCACCTTATCACCTGAATCCCCTCCTAGAGCACCATTGTGTTCTTTTTAACCAAATATCTCTCAGAGGGGTGTGGGGAGGGGCTCCTTATTTTCATCTGAAGTAACAGACAGAGAATCAGCACTTTTGAAACAGGGCTGAAACAGAGGGGATTATGGGATGCTGCAATGATCTGTTTGGTGTTTCAGACAAACACTTCAGAGACATGTTCTGTATATGTCAGAGACCTGTGATATATTGATGAAAAACAGTATAATAGGGGACCTTTAATGCCAGTTTCGCTCCCCATCCTTACCCCTCAGTGGTCCAGGCGTCTCACCTCCACTTTTCTCTCTCTGCAGGAACACCATCTCCAGCGGGCCATCTCGGCGCAGCAGGTTTACGGAGAGAAGCGGGACAACATGCACATCCCAGTGCCCGAGGCGGAGAGCGACATCACGTACTACGAATCCCTCTACCCCGGGGAGTTCAAGATGCCAAAGCAGCTAATTCACATACAGCGTGAGTGGGCTTCCCTTAATTCAAGATTCAAGGCTTTTATTGTCATGTGTGCATAGCTACAGCGTAATTATGACAATGAAAATCTTAGGTCACAGGCTCCTCCAATAGTGCAACATAATATAACAGATCAAATTAAAAAAGAATATAATAGAAATAGTACAGAATAGTCTATATACAAGTAATTGGAGTATTGATATATATGAGTTGCAAACAGATGGATGTTCTTTCAAAAGTTCAGGTGTTTAACATGGATGTCTGTGATGCAGCAGATTAGGAACTTGTTTCATTAGGTTGCAATGTTTTTTTTTATTGCATTAGAAGAAACTTAGGGGGCTTTAGATTAAAATTGTACGTGCCAATGAGTACAATATTGCACATTAGTGTACTTCTTTCATTTTTCATTACATTTTGACTACGTTTTTGACTTTAACACGTAGAGTTTATTGTAAACCGTTTCCCACAGAGCTCTTATGATTGCAAGACAATGTTTTCTAGCGTTTTGAAGATGGATAAGTTGGTTGCGGAAAGGCTTAAATAAAAAAGCAAGTCTTTAAGTGACTCCCGAGTCCACAGGTATTAAAAGGATCCTGTGGTTTCAGACGGTTCTTTTTTTTTTTTAATCCTTTTAATGGCATCAGGCGTGTGTTTTATAAGCTTTTAATGAGTCGTCACATGTTTGCCAAAGTAAATGGGTTTGTGAGAGTGCCCAGTTCAGAGAAAATGAGTTGGCTTCGTTGCTTAGTTCTGTCGCCGTGTTTGTGTCACAAAGGAAAGCAATTTGCGGTACTCTACACCATTAGTTGAACACTGCAATGACAGATGTTTTGTCCTGTCAAATTGCTTTCTGACTTAATTGCTCTAGGTCTAGACAGTGGGAAATGTGTTGAAAATCCAGTGTTGGTTATTTCTAGATCTTGAAATAAAAAAAATGAACTGAAATGTGTTATCTAGTTTAGTTTTGAGTTGGTTGTTTTAATGCAGCTGCTTGTTTTACATGGTGGCGGTTGATAAATCCAGCAATGAAACAAGTCTGTGCACAAAAATATTGTAATTTAAAATGTATATTATTGGCCTCATCATGAGAACTGCAATTAATTGGTCAACTAATTGCCAAGTCATTCGTCAAAAATAATTGCGTCTTTTTTTTTATAGTAAAGTCAGTTTTCTAAAGCAAAAATGGCAGAAAATGCTTTTTTCAGGCTCTCAAACATCCATTTTCTCCTTAAATCAAATAAAGTGACTATATTTATGTGTTAAACGGACAAAATATCACATGTAAAGTCATGACCGTGGACTTTGGCAAACTGGAAAGACTTTTTTTAAACTATTCTGAGGTTTTATCGACTAATCAATTTGACTAGAAAGTAAAAGGCAGATGAATCGATAATGAAATGAATGGGAGCAGCCCTACTGCTCACAGCTTGATGTTACAGTCTCATCAATAACCATATATCCTTCCTGTCACACTCTGTTGCCGTCATGTCAGCTTTAGATTGAATCAATTTGTTTTTATCTAATCAGCACTGAGGTTATCGTCTTAAAAATGAACCAAAAGCTCTCGTCTGTACGGTGTTTGCTCTGTAATTGTGAGGACAGAAGCTGTGTGATGTGTTCTCCTGTTGAGACACAGAGATGAAATGTGTTTGAATTAGACTTTGTTTGACATACCGGTCACTGAGGCTTTAAACAAACGTGAAAAGCAAAAGCACAGCGAGAGGAAAAGCTTTTACATTTGTCCGTCTTTTGCGTCAGAAACAGGCTCACAGTCCATTAGGAAAGGGCAGCGAGTCACATTTCTTTGCATAAACTAAAAGGACATTAATGTAACTTTAACCGATCAGTGTTCATTATGCACGCATCAAAGCTGACTCCATTAAAGTGTGGGGTCAGCCATGTGGCTAGAGGGGACTAAATGTACCACACAACAGGACATATTGTATACCGTTTGTTATTTCCAGTCAGTCGTTGTGCTTTCCGTCGCCTGGAAGGTTAAATGTGCTGTAATTACGTCTGATAATCATCTCGTGCACCCCTGACCTGCTGTACTCTGAAAACACTTATGTATTCCAGTCAAGTGTGTGCCGTTAGTCCTGTGTGGTTTAATGAACAGTTTATCTTCAACAGAAAGGAGCTGCATTAAGCTCATGAGTTTAGATACTGAAGGATCAAGCTGTACTGCTTTCTGTGGAACATTAGGCGATATGGTGTATTTGTTTTTACATTCTCTCTGATAACAAGACTGGTCTCCGAACAAACGCCTGTTTCATTGCATTATTTTACATATTTTAAAACTGCTTCTGAATACTTGATTTCTCAAATCTGCGTTGATTGTTTCCTTAAATATGATTCGGTATGCAGACAGGTCCAACAGTTTGTTTTAATTGTCATTAAGTACTTGTACTGTTTTTAATATGCAGGGTTTTGTCTAAACCGCGTAACTTAAGGCGTGCGCCCTCATACCAAGATGCCGAATTTCCCCGTAAAATGTTAAACTGATGACAGAAAACGATATTTCTGTTAGTCAAAAACTTTATTATTACTCCAAAAATATGAAAATAGTGTCAGACAGAATAGACAGCTTTGTTTAACGCATCTCCGAGTAAATACTACATACATAAATACTACACTACTTGCTTGTAAAGCGCTTTGAGCACCAGAAAAAGCGCTATATAAATGTCATGTATTATTATTATTATTAATAAATAGGGGATGGTCGGTCTGCCGGTGGACGAGTCGTTTAATTTACTGTCCTTTTTTCTGTAGAGGAAGTAAAGACACCATAACTCTGGATGTATTTGTTGTTTGAGGTGCAATATATGACTCGGCAGCTTTAAGACATGAAGAAACTATTATTTTCCGCTGTGCTCTCATGCATTATCTAAACTGGAAAGCAGTCGTGGCTGTAATTTTGCCTGGAAGTGACATTAGGGAACCTCATACATTATTTTTCTCGAAAAACCCTGATATGGCACATTTCTTTTAGAGAGGCCCTATTATGTAGCAGGGTGTTATATAGGTTTTTGTATATGTAAATGGTCTGCAGAGGCAAATATGCACCTGAAAATGAGCATATGTGCTTTTTAAAATCACTATATCACTATATTTACAATCTAGACAGCTCGGAAAGCTATTTAAAATGTCATTTTCATCGAATTAGTTTTTATGATAGTAGAACACTTTAATATCATTAAAGCACTCTAGCACCTCATTTTCTAATTTATGCTTACATTTGTTTTATTTTCTCGTGCTTGGCAATTTTCTTTTCATACGACAGGCTGCGCTTGGAGCTTAGTTACGCAGCAGTGCTGAAAACCTTGTAATTAAAACACTTAAATACTCATTAAACGATGATGAATTCTCCATATGGACTGCAGGGTGTGTGGTAACCTTGTTTCAGTCGTCAGTCTCTTTGCACATGTGTTAATGTGACTTTCCATCACACATACAAGACGGTGAAAGCACACAATGAGAACTGAATGACTTCTTTTTAAATATGCATGTCTGGTGTACACTGGCATTGGCAGGGTTTTTGTCTAGGCAACCTCTTTTGGATCCAAACGTCTGCTTAAATCATAAAGTAAAATCTGAGTTTCATGCAGTTTTGGGCACAAAGAAATGTGCTCTCGTCTGTCTGTATTTAAATTGATGGCTAAGAGTTAGGGTTCAAAGAAAGCCTTTATTTAATATTTCAAGGGAATTGTTTATCAGTGAACTTGGCTTAAAACGGGCTTGTTTTCTTCGTGCCGCATGCTGTGCCTGCAGTCATTAGCAGTCCAATTAAACTGAACTTTAATGGTCACTTTACTGTGGAGTCAGAGTAGAGATGAATAAAAGCACGAGCATTATACAAAATGGTTAACATCAGAAGGACAAAGTGCACATGAGGGGGGGTTTCACTCAATGACTATCTGAAGATGTGGATTATGAAACATGAAAAGGGCATGACCGCAAACACAATTTAAAAACCCAGAACACAGTCGGGTGATTGAGGTCTTTCATTCAGATTTATTTTACTTTAAATTAAAAGCTACTGTGCACAATTTCTGTACATTATGCTTTTGTGTTTCTGTCCCTTTTTAGTAGATTGGTATATTGGAGTGTTCTCATTTATTTTTAAAGATTTTATAGTGTGTAGATACTCTGTCTTTTCTACTGAGAATACCTCTATTTTATTATTAATATCTATTTATTGTATGTCACTCAATTTTTAAGAAATGTGTTATTTATGAACATTGACTGTCAAAATGCTGCCGTCAGGACAAAACTATTTCCCAACTCGAGGAACATAAAGTATCTATCTTATGAACAGATCATTCTCCCCCATTATCCACAGCTTTTTGAAATATGAGGCAAGTTTATTTATACACAACCCAGTCTCACGGCATTTCGTGTTATAGTCACGAAATTAATCTATTGATTCGTGTTCACCAACACGATTTCCCCATTTTTTTCGTGTCACACAGAACGATTTTAAAAGCAATGTAAATAATAACAAATTTAAAGGAAAAAGAGATAAAAAAAAAAATACACATTTCAGTATTCTGACAGAACGATTTTAGAAGCAATGTATTTATATTGGTAGTATGTTTCGTGCCTGCACCAAATAATAACAAATTAGAAGGAAAAGAAAAGCGAAAAAATACAGATTTCAGTATTCTGAGGCTCTGAGCCATTTCTTTTCCTCGTGGACGGCAAAAACTCCGACATTATACAATTTAAAATAAAAGGGTTAGGGTAAGAAAATGTTTTTAGGAACCACACAGCTTCTGGTCTTCCAAGACCCGACCGGACAAAAAGACGTGTTGCAGGCACGAAACATACTACCAATAGAAATACATTGCTTTTAAAATCGTTCGGTGTGACACGAAAAAAAGGTGAAAATCGTGTTGGTGAACACGAATCAATAGATTAAATTAATTTCGTGACTATAACACGAAATGCCGTGAGACTGGGTTGTGTATAGCACCTTTTTAACAGAAGGCAATTCAAAGTGCTTTACTAAAATGAAAGACATTAAGAAAATGGCATTAAAAACAGTCATTAAAAAGCAAAGATAATAAAATAAACATTAAAAGAAAAAACACATGAATAAAAGTTGCAGTGTAAGTTATATAGCCCATATGAATAGTTCAATTAAAAGCAGCGGCAACAAGAAAAGTCATCAGCCTGGATTTAGTAGTAAGAAACATATTAAGTTTTATAGATTTACAAATCTGCTATGTTATATAGGGTTATTAAATAATCTACCAAATGTCTAAAGTGTGTTTTTCCTTTTCCGACCTCTCTGCAGCTTTCAGCTTGGACGCAGAGCAGCCCGACTACGACTTAGACTCGGAAGATGACGCGTTTGTCAACAAGCTGAAGAAGAAGATGGAGATCAGCTTCCTGCAGTTTGAGGAGATGATCGACCGGCTGGAGAAAGGCAGTGGACAGCAGGTCGGCACTGTTTGTGTCTCCGTCTGCATCCCCTTTAAACACAGCCGCCTGTAGAGAAAGGCCCCTGAAATACCCTAATAGACAAATACAAAATGAACCTATGAAAATAAATTGATACCTTCATTTAGTATGAATTTGAGACTATTTATGGTAAGACGCCATCCACATACAAGCCCTCATTATCATATATCCCTCCCTTAAAGGTCACCTATTATGCAAAATCCACTTCTTCATGTCTCTTCTACATCAACATGTGTCCCCTCTGTGGAAAGAGACTCTGAAAGTTTCAGGAACAAAGATTCTCTCTTTTTGTCCTGATCCATTTATATAAAAACCTGTCTGAAAATGAGCTGATCAGATTTTGACCACTTTATGATGTCATAACGGATGTTTTGGCTTGTGTAACCATTAGCCAATCAGCAACCAAGGTAACCGCCCCCACCTTATCACCTGAATCTCCTCCTAGAGCACAATTGTGTTCTTTTTAACCAAATCTCTCTGAGGGGCGTGGGGAGGGGCTCCTTATTTTCATCTGAAGTAACAGACAGAGAATCAGCACTTTGGAAAGGGAACAGAGGGGATTATGGGATGCTGCAATGATCTGTTTGGTGTTTGGAGCCAAACACTTCAGAGACATGTTTTGTATATATCTGAGACCTGTAATATATTGATGAAAAACAGTATAATAGGGGAACTTCAATACCCGTGCAAATCCATCTTTTAATCATCAAAGATGTAACTCGTGTTTGTATCTTCCATCTTTCTTTTAGGCGGTGAGTCTTCCCGAGGCCAAGCTGCTGCTGAAGGAGGACGACGAGCTCATCAAGGAGGTTTTCGACTACTGGAGCCGCAAGAGGAAAACCAGCCGAGCAAACTGCCTCATCCCAAACTGCAAGCAGGAGAGACGGGACGGCTCCAGCACCAGCGACCCCTACGTGGCCTTCAGGCGGCGCACAGAGAAGATGCAAACCAGGAAGGTCGGTAGTCCTTAAACTCAGCTTTTTACTGGCACTTTGTTTGTGGCTCTGGTCTTGGTAGTTGTTCAAACTGGATCTCTCTTTGTTGAATGCTTTTTGCTTAAAGTTAGAAACAATTCAAGCGGTTGTAGAGAAATGAAACAAAAGTGGAAGAAAAGTCCAGCGACCGCCTTTTTGAGTTTGGAAATGAAATAAAAGTCATAGCTACGTTTTTTTTTTTAAAACTTCATACCAGATCTCATGCTGTTAGACTTTTACGTTTAAGGAAAAAAATACACTCTGACAATGTTATCTGTTTAACATGCTAATAAATAAGTAAAGACAGAAAGAAAATGCAGTGAGCTGGATGGAAAGTGGGGAAAAAAGCAGTGGATTAAAGTAATTTTTATACAGGATTCATCCCTGTGCGGATAATTACTTTTATTTAAAGGCAATAATACTCTGTGTCACTGTTAGCTGTTGTATTGTGGAGTGTAACTAACTTGAAAAGCAGTGAGAAAAGCGGTCTGGAAACGGCAGAAGTGGAGTTATAAGATGGGGAAAAACACGTGAATAATTAAGTTGAGGAATTGCAGAAAAAGCAGTTGAGCTACATTTGTTTAATTTGAGTTTACGGGGGAAAAAAGCTGTTAAAGTGTAATATATACTATTGTATTGATAAGAGGAACAAAGCATCCGTAGCAGTGTGACGATGACTATGGAGAAATAAATTGTGCAGCGTCACACCTTGTAGAAAATGTGTTCAAGTCAGACTGGTTTCCTTATTCCGAGAAATATTTTTTTCACACTCTGATAACATCTCAGAGGAGGCTGTGGCTCAGTGGAGTAGTACGTTGATATTGGGGTCAGTGGGGCTCTGGTTCAATTCCCACTGCAATCAGCATGTCGTTGTGTCCCTGGGCAAGACACTTCTTCCCAAATTGTGAAAAGAAACCCACAGTATTGAGTGTATGTAAGTCGCTTTGGATAAATAATAATAATAAATGTATTTTGTAAGTTGCTTTGCAGAGGTAGTAAAAAAAGGACAACAAATACATATAGTAAAAGTCACATTAAAATCGAGCAATAAAACAACAATCACACATTGAAAGCCAGTTTGAAGCTGGTGAGGTCAGTGCAGTCTCTGATGGATTGTGACAACCCAGTCTCACAAAAAACCGTGTAATAGCTACGTTGGTCGACAGGGCAAAACGTAGTATATTCACAAATAACCCTCTCAAGACGTGACATGGATACAATATTTTGTATAAAAAAAACATGGAGCTCAAATAATCTTCGTAATATCTATCAAACTATGGATCCTACACATTCACTGGACGTAGATTCTAAAAGTACAATATACACTTCTCGCTAGAAATGTAATCAAAAAGCATTTTAACGGCCAAACTATTCTACAATTTAGGATTTTCCACTACAAATAAATCGGGTGTCCGCCATGTTTTTTTTCTCACTGGGAAAGTTTGCGATCACGTGACATGGACACTGGGTGTTAGAAATGTAATAGGAAAACATATTGTATCCATGTCACCAGCGTTTCCGTCTTGCCGTCATTTGGGCGTCCAAAAAAATTCATAATTTGAGAGTTTTTATCGCTTGAAATGACGAAAGGAAAAAAGGACAAGGACATCCCTCTGTTGGAGGGGCAAAGGAGTCTGGTGGGATTCGATGAGCGGGGGGGGGGTGCTAGTGGAGCACGCGCGTGAACTGTGGTAAACTGACTCACTTAAAAAGAGCCGGAGTTCCCATCACTAACGTAAAGAGATAGTATCTATCAGCCCTGGTCTGGCGGAAACACTGCATGTTACACCTTGAGAGGGTTATTTGTGAATGTACTACGTTTTGCCCCGTCGACCAACGTAGATATTGCACGTTTTTTTGTGAGACTGGGCTGGTTTTGATGAGTGAGTTCCAGAGGGACTATCAAGTGACATGTAATGTAATTTAATCTCACTGGCCAGATTATTGTGAGGTAACCTGTGATGTAGAGCGATGATTCTCAACACTTGACCCCGACAGGCTGTCAAAAGAAATATCCTGTCTGCCACTTCACACAAGTACATCTACCTTTTGACTTCTCTAGACAAATATATAGACTTTTTGCACTACTTTTTATTATATATGTTGCATTGTTAGAGGAGCTCAGGTCAGAAGAATGTCATTGCCATTTCTACACTGTAGCTTTGTGCATATGACAATAAAACATTTGAATCTTGAAAAGACAATTGTCTGGGTTGAAATAACAATAATTATCTTTTTTCAATTCGTTTTTTGAAGGCAGAATCCACACAAAGAGTCAAACGCATCCAACAATGTCAACATATAACTAATTAATTATTGTTTTTATCAAAGTGGCTACACTTAACAAAGAGTAGAGGGAGGTATTGTTGTTCTGCCGTGAGCGAACAAACTTGTCTGACAAGTAACGGACAGTTTGCTCAGAAATAAATCCTTGTACAAAGCGTCGATGGAATGAGATATTTGGTTCGTTTTTTTGTACGAACAGAAACAATTGTAGCATATAGGCCTCATGGTTTCAGTGGAAACACTTGGCATCTTACCTCTCATTGAGAGTGTAACGCAATAATGTCGTTACAGCTTATTTTAAAACCAATATCTTCCTCCAAAGAATTAATTAAAGGCCAAAGTCGAACAAACTTCTCTGTGAAATGGTTACTGATGAAAGCACAGCTGTTGATTGGCGTATAGTTAATTTAGAAATAAACCCTGATCAGAGATGAACATTGACTGACTCCATGAACTTGTGGTTTCTTTTGTAAAGCATTTGTACGCCATCAAGTGGTCATTTTAAGAATTGATCCTGGGTGTGAACTTTGTGATCTGAGCAACCCGTTTGCTTTCATCCATGCAGCTTTTATGAATGTGCAAAGAAGTGAGACAAAGCATCGAAACCTGTCCCATGTTGACTTCTACATTTGATGCACATGAATCAGCATGCAATACATTTTATTTAAATACGAATGATTCATAATATTTGATGATTGTGTACGAATTCCTTGTCATTTAGGCGTTTGAAACTGCCCTTTACGTGTCTTAGTGTGAGGCTCATGCACTAAAGAACAGCTTTTAATGTTAACACCTTATCGGTAAAGATCATGTCTTTTAAGTATCGCTTATATATATATTTCCTCCTGCAACACTCAGAACCGTAAGAACGACGAGGCGTCCTACGAGAAGATGCTGAAGCTGCGCAGGGATCTCAGCCGAGCCGTCACCATCCTGGAGATGATCAAGAGGAGGGAGAAGAGCAAGAGAGAGCTGCTGCACCTCACACTGGAGATCTTTGAGAAGAGGTAACATCTCCAGGGCTGCACGCACAACACACTAGTGGAGACATAAACAAAAGGCAATTAGACAATCAGCCGGAGACAGAAAGGCGGGTTATAAAGTGGAACAAAAAGAGTGGAAAACTTAGTGAGTTTTCTCTACTTGGTGACTTTCCTTAATTATGTTTCATTGGTGTCGTTTGAGGGGGATAAAGATACCTCGATTAGTTGGATAACTGGCATCTCTGTGTTGGTAACTACGTTTCTTTAGTCAATAAGTCCGTTATTAATAATTTTCTCCTGATTTACTTTTTTCAAAGAAACTAGTGTCCTCTAGTCAACACAAAGTGATGCTTTTACATAATTCCTTGTGCAGAAACTCTATTTTTTAGTTCTTCAAAGATCAAATTGACTTGAAAATTGATCAGTGGAAGAAACGGGGAAAGCTTAGGACGACAAAAAATGTCTTGAATACCACAAAGTGTTAAAATTCACTTTGCTAAAAGTCATCAGAAGAGATTGATTTTACATTTTAGAATTTCGTCTTCAGTTTACGTCACATATCCCTACAGATCATTTCGATATCAAGACATTTTCTTCTCGTTTCACAGTAAAATGCAATCAGTGAGTGTCTTAGTGACGGTGAATGATTTATCTTCCTCTTTCTGCATCGTTAAGTATCTCTAATGGTGCATTCCCACTGCAGGGCCTCGCACGGCTTAGTACGGTATGGTTAGGCCTTGGTAGGCCAGGCTCACTTTATGGTGCGTTTACATTACAGTTTAGGAACTGGGGTAGTAACTATAGTAACGCAGTGTAGGCGCAGCCGTGACGTCATCTTCAATGCAAACCATAGAAAAACAACACAGCCGTTAGCTGTTAGCACTCAAGCTCACAGCTCCTCATATCTGTTCAGAAACTAGACAAAAGTTAAACAAGTACAAACCACAGACTGCCTGTGTCATGGTGAATACAGTCGCTGGTTTATTTATGTCTGTAGGCCGTTGTTGTGAGTGTGGACGGTCGGAGCATATACAGCGTTAGCTTAGCCGATCTCCATTTAGAAAACACGCATTTTAAAGGTTTTTTGCCTGCCGTCTGTCTGCAGACTTGTCAAAGCATTAATTCATGGTTTTTACTAACCGGTATCAGTATGTTGTTACTTCGGCATCATTTTGAAACGTGTATTACAATTAAATCACGGTCAAATATGTCCATCTTGTTGTAGTTGCCAGCGATTCTCTCACTAGTTTAGCATACTCAGCCCGGTTGTTGGCCCGGAAAGAACCTGGATTTTGGAGAGCCAGAGAACTGTGAAACAGTACCGTTAGCCGGAACTACCCCTAGTGGAAACGCAACCAAAAACCGTCGGGGCACGGCACCGCACGCTTAAACCGTGCTACGCGCTGCAGTGGAAATGCGCCATTAGTGACAGTGATGTAGAAACACCCCCATGATCAGAATCAGAAAACCTTTATTAGCCCCACAGAGGGGAAATGTACATTGTCACAGCAGAAAAGAGCAAAAGACGGCTTAATGTTTCATTGGTGTAGTTCGAGGGGGAGAAGGACTCCTCTTTTCAAATGAAAACATGTTGAAATATCCCGGTTTTCTTTCTTCCAGGAACGTCATGTCGGACTACAGTGGAGAGGTGATGGCGGAGGTGTTGGCTGAGCGGGCGCTGGTGAGGCCGCAGATCATTCCCCTGGTCCCCGTCACTAACCAGTACCGACACCAGGACCACATGGACCTCAAGGACTACAAGTCCAAGGTGAGGCTCCCATCTATCAAAAAATAGTTGTTGAGCTTTATTCTTACTTTAAAACGAGGCATCCAGAAATGACAATAATGATTGTAATTTAAATAAGATTGTCTGTATTCTATAAGGGTGTGTTTCTATTTGTTAAATACTTTATTTAAATGAATGTCATTGAGATTTGGGATCCATTTTTTTTAAGAAAGAACTAAATGATCATGTACAGTATAACCATAGACGGACACACGGTCACTTCCTAGCACTACATTATTCTACACACATTATATAAAGCACTAGCAGAAAGTATATAAGCTTTCACTCTGAATTACTATTTATTACATATGTATTTAATATTCTTTACAACTGTATTCAACTTGTATATGCCTAATCCCAGCACCTAATAGATAAAGGAGCCGATTTAGAAGCATATACATAAGATATTTAATCCTATTTATATACATTATGCTTTTGGCTACTCTTTGCACTTTCTGCTTGGATGCATTTCATTGTACAATAAAGTTAAATCTAATCTTAAAAACAAGAGCTACAACTAATGTTGAAATGTCTTCTACAAAATAAATACTGTACAGACAGGACAGAGATATGTAGGCTACCCTTTAGGTGCTTTTTAATTCTCATGAGTTGTGTCCTTTCTCCCCCCTTTAGCCCGAGAAGGCGGAAGTCCCCCGTCAGAAGAGGAAATACGAGAAGAAGCAGAAGGCGTTGCCGCTGTCGTCGGGCGCGCCCCACCACCCGGGGCCTGCTGTCTTCAACGCCAAGGACCTCAACCAGTACGACTTCCCCAGCTCGGACGACGAGCCCTACTCCCAGGTACAGAAACACACACACACACACTCACTCATTCATGGCTCCGTTCCTTTCCGAGAGCCGTTCAAAAGAGCCGGGTTTTTTTTTTTAAGTGGCGGTTGAGATTATTTGTTGACCCGGCTTTAAATTATATTTTGGCTTTACACATGTTGTACTCCGCTTTATCATTGCCTATGTTTTTGTTGAAGTGCATCCAAATGCTGCTGCGTTTTCGCGTTTGGCAAATTCTTTCACCCGAAAAACACGTCCACGTCCTGTACCTGTATCACCGGCTGTGAATAGAATATGTGAAAGAATAAGATCTGTGGAAAACGAACCCGTTTCATAAATGCACGTTTTGTTCAGCCGGATAATCTCCACATGTCTACCCTACTTTTATAATTTTCAAATCATAAATCTAGTCGCCAGAAGCAAAATGCTAACGTTATGCTATAAAGGAACTACAGCAGGGTCACTGCTTCAACGTCACGCCCACTTAAGATCCATATTCAAACATACAGATTCACAATTGTACAAGTTGAAGCGTTTGTTTTAACAGTTTGCAGGAGGCAGGGACTTGCTTTCAAGCAGCACAGGGCAAACAAACTTAGAGGGCTGTGTACGTGTTCGGTGTAATGACGTACAACGGCCTCGACAACTTCTGTAGTCCTATTCAGCCACTTGTTAACGACCATCGTTTCTCAGACACGTAAACTCTTCAGAAATCACCATCGGGGTCACTGCTGATGTATTTAATGTCTCTTAAACCAAAGACCTTATTTCCAGCTATTTTCCAAAACTAGTTCAAAAATCCCGTTGACTCTGCGACGAGGGAACCGGAAGTGGTAAAATGCTAACTCACTTCCGGGTGTTAGAACTCGTTCCTGCACCACTGTATGGGCTTCAGTGTTATAGATTCTGCGCTAGACTGACCTTTGACCTCTGTCCACAGCTGCACTCAGGCTCTTCAGAAGCGGAGGAGGAGAACGACCCAGACGGTGCCTTCGCCTTTCGCAGGAAGGCCGGCTGCCAGTACTACGCTGTAAGTAATAATAATAATAATTCATTCTATTTAGAGGCACATTTCAAAGCACCCACCTTACAATTCATACAATATTCTAAGGAAAGGTTTAAGACGGTACAAAAGCACCGTAACGGGGAACATGTAGCACTGCAGTGAGTAGGCTGATCGTAACAGGTGGGTTTTGAGGAGGGACTTGTACTGAAATCCTCCACATGCTGTATACAAGTACATAAAAGAGCTTTGTTTCTACATGGTGGTGAGTTTAAGAGTGCCTCGTGTCCCAGCAGTGGTGTTTCTAAATGTTTTTTGCAGCGCTGGTTAGAACAGGAACAATAAGCATCATTGAGTTGTTGTTTTATAACATGGTTTGAGTGTTGCTAAGCCTCTCGGTTAGTTGGATAACTTGCATCTTGGTGTTCGTAACTGAGTTTTCTTTAGTCGATTTGTCCGTTTCTGATACTTTTCTCATGCTGAATCACTTTCTTCAAAGCATCTAGTGTCCTCTAGTCAACACAAAGTGATGCTTTCACATGATTTCTTGTTGAGAAACAATTTTTTTTGTTTTTTAAAGATCAAATTGACTTGAAAATTGATCAGTGGAAGAAACAGGGAAAGGTTAAGACGGCACAAATTGAATTGAGTACCACAAAGTGTTAAAATTCACTTTGCTAAAAGTCATCAGAAGAGATTAATTTTACTTTTTAGAATTTCGTCTTCAGTTTACGTCACATATCCCTACAGTTCATTTCAATATCAAGACATTTTCTTCTCGTTTCAGAGTCAAATGCAATCAGTGAGTGTCTTAGTGACAGTGATGTAGAAACACCTCCATGATCAGAATACCTTTTATTAGTCCCACAGAAGGGAAATGTACATTGTTACATCAGAAAAGATCCAAAGACGGCTTAATGTTACCTAAGAAGCATGCATGCATACAAAAAATAAAATAATACAAATTACACATCAGAGGTTTTGTACCCAGAATGAAAGGTGTGACCGTGGCTCTCTGTCTGCAGGTGCGTCAGGACCGGGTGGGCAGCTGGCCGTGGTGCGGACCCTGGGACGGCGGTTTGGCAGAAGCTCGTTTCCGCTACAGTCTCACCACGCTCACCGTGCCGCGCCGCTGCCTCGGGATGGCCCGGCGGCGCATGGGGCGAGGCGGCAGGTCGGTTAAACTCCCGTTTGTTTACTTTCCGCACCTTCAGATTTACCTTTTTCTTTGTTTTTGTCATATGCTTAACCGTGCAGTTTATTAGGTGTATGGATACCTGGCTTTTGCAATGCTGACAGCTTTTGTTCAAATGTACAGATATGACACAATCTTATATCATTCACTTATTGACTCTTTGGTAAAAAGTAACTTTTAAAGATCACCTATTATGCAAAATGCACTTTAAACACAGCCGCATGTAGAGAAAGGCCCCTGAAATACCCTAATAGACAAATACAAAATGAACCTATGAAAGTAAACTGTGATAACTTCATTTAGTATGAATTTGAGACTATTTATGGTAAGACGCCATCCATATACAAGCCCTCATTATCATATATCCCTCCCTTAAAGGTCACCTACTATGCAAAGTCCTCTTCTTCATGTCTCTTCTACATCAACATGTGTCCCCTCTGTGAAAAGAGATTCTGAAAGTTTCAGGAACAAAGATTCTCTCTCTTTTTGTCCTGATCCATTTATATAAAAACCTGTCTGAAAATGAGCTGATCAGATTTTGGCCACTTTATGATGTCATAACGATTGTTTGGCTTGTGTAACCATTAGCCAATCACCAACCAAGGTAACCCCCCCCCACCACCTTATCAAATATAAATTAAATGAAAGAATCAAGATTAATAAGAGAAGTCCTGAAAAGTATGTTTTCTATCTTTATTAACGTAGCTTTAACTTCTCCTCTCGCAGGGTGTTGCTGGACAGAGCGCACACGGACTACGACAACGTTTTCCACGACCTGGATGCAGAAAAGCTCGACACGTCTCTTCCCCCGTCGTCTCCTCCTCCTGCAGCTTCTTTGCGCTCGCCGGCCTCCGACAAGTTTGCCAGTACCTCAGAAACAAATACCTCGGACAGAAGTTCCTCCTCCCTCTCCTCCCCCTCTTCCACGGACCTCAGTCAGATACTGTTGAATATAAGTTCGTGCCGATGGAGGCACTTTAGACCACGGACACTACCACTACACGAGCTGGACAATGCCCACCCGCTATTCAGGAAGCTGAGTCGCAGCCTGAAGCGACCCGCCTCCTCCCCCACAGCCGCGGGGCAGCCGTTTGGCTCGCTGCGCCCGGGGAGGGTCATCCACGCACCCCCCCCCACTGCTGGTAAGTGGACCGGCTGCAGGATGTATCGTCTCGGCACTGACTTTGAGATGCTAGTTCTTTCTCTCTGCTTGATTCTTGCACGGGTCTTATTTTCACTGTTAAATCTACAAGGAGTCTGGTGTATTACTCACTCTGATTTAAAGGTCACCTATTATGCAAAATCCACTTTTTCATGTATTTTCTACATAAACATGTGTCCCCTCTGTGTAAAGAGATTGTCCAGATCCATTTATATAAAAACCTGTCTGAAAATGAGCTGATCAGGTTTTGGCCACTTTATGATGTCATAACGTTTTTTGGCTTGTGTAACCATTAGCCAATCACCAACCAAGGTAACCCCCCCCCCCACCTTATCACCTGAATCTTCTCCTAGAGCACAGTGTGTTCTTTGTAACCAAATATCTCTGAGGGGCGTGGGGAGGGGCTCCTTATTTTCATCTAAAGTAACAGACAGAGAATCAACACTTTGAAAACAGGGCTGAAACAGAGGGGATTATGGGTAATGCTGCAATGATCTGTTTGGTGTTTCAGCCAAACACTTCAGAAACATGTTCTGTATATATCTGATAATATATATCGTATATTGCTGAAAAACAGTAAAATAGGGGACCTTTAAGGGTACAGAGTGGTTGCTATGGAGGGGTTTGCAGACTGCATGCACAACAAACAATCAAAAATAATTGTTGATCGATTCATCAAATTGAAAAAGCAGTCCCGGCTATTGTTGCCCGCAACCTCAAAGAGGAAAATCAAAGAAAAAAAGCTTTGGTTGGACAAAAAAAAAGTAGTTTTTTGTACATGGAATTTTGTTTTTTATGTCATTGCATCGGCAGGATGTCTATCCCAGAAACTATCCCAATATTCAGTTTTCACACATTAGAAGAAAGTATTCCCATTAGAAACTGTTGGCAAGCTCTGCGGATTATGGAAATAAATAAAATAAAACACAAATACATTCAATATCCTCTCAATTCTGTTGTAAACTAGGCTCATAAATAAAAATCAATGTGGATGAGAGATACTACTCTGGATAAGAAGAGTAATATGTGTCCTGGTCCAACTGAAGAATGCTAGTTCAGAGAGGTTATTGGCATCTATCCATAAAATTATTGGCACACGTCGTTATACACACACACGTCCGATTGCTTCCCTTTTTCAAACCGTCATTTTCCTTTCCCCTGGATCCCTTTAAACACTCTGTCCGTCCTCTAGCTGCATCCTGAAGGTCTTCAAGCTGTTGCTTTGCATTCACAGAGCGCCACCTCGCTGCACACGCTGTCAATTAAATCTGGGGTTTGATAAATAAATTCATGAGATGCAGATGATTTGTTTGTCGGGGTGTGTGGACTAGGAGGCGTGGAGCTCTGAATACAAACTAAATGTCGAGCAGATGTTGCTACAAGCACTTCACACAGGAGTGGATTTATGTTCTGATGCGCCCATTGATTCCTGCTTTTGTTAAAACTGATCTGCATGTCAAGAAAGTGAAGGACACGAACCAGAGATTTGACTCCAATAGTGGTTCAGTGTGCAGAGAGCAGCCGCCAAGGTTGGCCGTAAGCAGAGCTGAATTTATAAGTGTTAAAAATGAAATGCCACAGATTGCATGGAATAAGCATGAAGGGCGTTCCAGATGTGCTGTACACGCCTCGCAGGGAATCATTACTGAACTGAGGCATAACAAAAGGCCACACTAATGCCTCGTAATGTGGGAATAGGACTTCATAATCAATAGAAAGCCATTAAAGACAGATTTAAGAACATGGGCAGGGTGAATAACTAAGGTTCTTAAAAGACTCAAGAAACCAGAAGTTTATCTGAGGTTTTTCTCGGGAATTTGTTTACTGGAGTAACAACAAATAAAGGCATCTGGCTGATGTTGCTCTCATTAGAAAAGTTGACGTGTTAAAATACTCTGGCACAAGAACTGGAGATATGCAGGGACCAAAATAACGTGAAATATGTGATTTTTATTTATTTAACTAAATTGTAGAGCCTAATCACTTGCAAAATGTATCTGAGAAGAGCATGTGTTCATTCAGAAGTTGATCACATGAAACGTCATCCTCCATGGGTTTTCATTTTCATTTAAATGGGATAAATGGATAGACAGTATATCATTGACTGAATAATCATGCGTGTTATTGTTTTCCTCAAATGTAAAACTGCCCCCCATTAGACAAAGAGCACAAAAAGAAAACATTAGGAAATCACGGCAGGACTTAATAACTGAAGCAGGAATATCTTTTGCATATCAAGGTATGGATGTATGTCCCAGATGTGTAACTCTCTCCCGGTGTCTGTCAGCTTTCACAGCCGAACAGTACCAGCAGCATCTGGAGCAGCTGGCCCTGATGCAGAAGCTGCAGCTGGAGCAGGTCCAGCTGCAGCTGAAAGCCAACAGCACCGCCACTACAAACAGCACAAAGGTTGGTTTCCCACAAATGAAAAATGATGTTTTCCCTATCATCAGTGGCTTTAAAGGTCACCTATTATGTAAAATCCACTTCTTCACGTCTCTTCTACATCACCATGTGTCCCCTCTGTGTAAAGAGACTCTGAAAGTTTCAGGAAAAAGATTCTCTCTTTTTGTCCTGATCCATTTCTATAAAAACATGTCTGAAAATGAGCTGATCAGATTTTGGCCACTTTATGATGTCATGACGATTTGTTGGCTTGTATAACCATTAGCCAATCACCAACCAAGGTAACCCCCCCCCCCCCCCCCCCACCTTATCACCTGAATCTCCTCCTAGAGCACCATTGTGTTCTTTTTAACCAAATATCTCACATGCCCCTTTCACACCAACGCGTTTTCAGCGCCGGCTCGGAGCTAGAGCCTGAAAAGTACCGGTTTTTCCTGTTCACACCGCAGCGGCGCCGCCTCTTAGCTCCAGAATCCGGTTAACTTCCAGCTCCAAAAAATTGTCGGTCTAGAAGCAAGAGCTTTGGAGCTAAGAGGCGGCGTCTCTTTCGTCGAGGCGTGCAGGAAACTAAACCCACCTCCCCTGAACATGGGTCGACTGAAGAGTCTCGTCATGCCTGCCTCCAAGCAGTAGCGCTGAGCAAAGTGACTAGAAGGCAACCACACACTTATAAAAAAAAAACACACTTTATAAAGTCAGGCAACACTAACCAGGCCTCGTGTGATTCTGTTTATTTGTACCTTACTTTGACCATCCGTTCGCTGTTATTGATCATTGTGGAGAGCAGGCAGACGTTTTGTTTTGTATTATAGCAGCTATCGGATGGAATCAATACATGGGCTGCACAGGTTGTCATGTCCGACTATCACAAGTAGAATCATAATGAAAAATACGCCGGTAAAATGTGCCTGTAGAAAACGGCTTAGCAAGTAGTCAGTTTAGCTTCGGTTGCTATGCTAACATCACCCATGTTATACCAGAGAAACTTTCATAACAGCGTTGTGATGCCAAACAGCGTCAATTCAGACTGACACACATTCACTTAAGGGGAACTGGGGATATGTATCAGCTGCTTGTGTGACAGTCAGACAGTGAATACTTTAGAGCCGTGTGAGCTAACCCGGAGCTAACGGGAGAATAAACTCCTGTTGAAGAGCAGCCAGCACTGCAGCGGTCGGTAAATGCCGCTGAAACACATTAATAAACAATGAACCACGGCACTCTGGAGAAAAGTATAAGGTTGGAGAAGTCGTTATTTAATTTAATCTGGCTTCGTATGATTAAAAGCAACACGATCATCGACCCGACGCAGTCCCCCCCCCCCCCCCCGTTGTTGTTGTGAGCTCCGTTGGGGAGAAAATCAGCGATGTAAACGGTGACGTCATGACGCAGCAGCGGCAGCACCATCCCGGCTCTGAGTGGTGTGAACAGAGCGGGAGCTGAAAAGGGAAACCGGAGCTGAACCAGAAAAGCTCTAGCTCGGAGCTAGAAAGGGAAAAGCGCTGGTGTGAAAGCCGCAACTGAGGGGCGTGGGGAGGGGCTCCTTATTTTCATCTAAAGTAACAGACAGAGAATCAGCACTTTGGAAACAGGGCTGAAACAGAGTGGATTATGGGATGCTGCAATGATCTGTTTGGTGTTTCAGCCAATCAGAGACATGTTTGTATATATCTGAGACCTGTAATATATTGATGGAAAACAGTATAATTAACAGTTTCCCTCTCCTCCCTCTTCCAGGGTCTGTCTCATACGTTGGACCAGGCCAGCGCTCAGTTCGCCGCCTCGGCTCTCGTCACCGCCGACAAACTGCTGGCTCTGAAAACCAAGGAGGACCTCGGCCCGGGAGGAGGAGCGGTGAACGGCGTCCTCTCCCCCTCAGGTACGCAAACACAACAAACTCCCACAGGGAGGCTCAGTCAGTGCGCTTCCTCTAGGAAAACAACAGCAGTTTATATATATATACATTTTTTGTTATTCAAGTTTTTATTTATGAAAGTACTTGGATCACATGGTACAGAAAGAGGAAGGGCAGGCTACAAAACATGTTAGTGAAGTGTTCCTGGTTAAAAGAAAACTGTAACTGGTTGAAAGCTGTAAGATTACCAATCAGAAACTACAGCGAACATAAAATAAAATTATGCTTGATTAGAATGATTGTACGAATGCCCTTTTGTGAGCATCCTACAGTCAGGCTAATTTATATATATTTGGCAAACTATATATATATTGTGATATGGATACAAGGACACTATTCAGGGAACTATTGTGTCCCATGCAGCTCTGTATGTGATGACTACTTCCATTCTTGATAGGATCATAAAAACATGGATCCTGATATTGAAGCTCAAGCCGGTGACGAATGATATTTTTCCTAACATCCACCCACCCTCTTTTGACCCCCAGGTGTCTACAAGGGCTCTCACCTCTCGAGCACAGCGGCTCCACCTTCCTCTTCCTCCCCGACTCCCTCCCTGCTCCACCCCTCGGCCACCAGTAACAACAACGGCACCGCCCACCACCACCCCAACACCACTAACACCACTCAGGTTCTGCTGGGAAACAACAGCCTCCGTCTGGGGGTTCCCACCGGAAAGCGCGTCCACGCCCCCCGGACGCTGAGCAGCACCACCATGTCCACGTCCGCCTTAAAACTCGCAGCCGCCAACTGTCAGAAACCCAAGGTCACCGCGACCTCTGCCTCGCCGCTGGACATAGTGCCCAGGTGAGGAAAACATCCAGTGGGGGGATGAGAAGGTGAAAGTCAAAGTCAAGTCAACTTTCTTGTCAATCTTTCAGTTTGTGTGTACAGACGGAGAGATCGAAATATGTGACCGTTTCCTGTGTTTTGAATTGCTCTTCTTACCGCACTGTTAGTGTACAGTTTTATTATTATGCTGCTGTGTTTATTGTATTTTTGTAACTCTGGCACAACAATTTCCTTCGGGATGAATAAAGTCCTATCTTATCTTGAATACCGTTTCCCACAATCCCGAATACAAAAACAAATATGTATATATACACAATAAACAGACACATTTATACATATGCACATATTAAGCACAACAATCAATATATACTAAATAACAGTCACTTCAATATCTTTGAAAAACGACATTAGTGCAAGACTGTCCATAGCAGCGTAAAAAGTGTGTGGTGCTGGATGTGTGTGTGGGGTGTTAAAGTCCAGGTCCAGTGGGAGTATGATGTTAAGATAAGTACTTTATTGATACCAATTTGGGAGAAAAAATGTCTCAAATGGAAATAAAATAACGTTTAAAAAAAATTAAAAATATACATGTGGAAACACAAATTTACAGTAACAAAATATACATGTTGAAAAATACTGACAAGGAACCAAAAAATAAAATAATGTTATCCCTAAATTGTAAAGTGAAATGCATCCAACTGGTCTATTCTGGTATATTTTTCACTGTTAAACACATTGGTATAAAACAGACCAGTTGGGTGCATTCCGCTTTACAATTTAGGGATAAAATTCCTCATTTTGTTAAATATATTGCTAATAAAAAAAAAAAAGGAACATGATTGTTAAAAATTGGCCTGCACGATATTGGTAAAGTCTGGCATTGCATTAAGAAATGCATGTTTTTAAGAGGCTCCAGGAAAGGAAAAAGGCCTATATTACATCATTAAAATGCTGAAAATAATTGAATATTTTGTAGTTTTGATCAAGACTGAAGATTTGAAGTAGGAAATAATGTTGTGGCAGTTTTTGGAATAGGACATTTTTTAAATGAATGATACATTTAAAATTTAACTCAAAAACTAATAATGAACGAAAATCAATGTTGTTGCTTATTTTTTACATATATGGTTAAAATCCTGTAAAATATTTGGTAGTTTAATCAGGACTGAAGTTGATTTAACCCAAAGAAGTAGGGGAGAAATATTTAGATATGACATTTTTATCAACATTTTTGGCCTGAATTGACAATTAGGGTTAGGTTGAGTGATACCAGTGGGTTTTGATGCCGTTACTCGCAGCTAACTGTGTTTTCGTTGTGTTTTCAGGGAGAATCACGAACAAGAGAAGCCAGCACTGAACAGTCTGTCAGAGAACACAGTGGCCATGGAGGTCACGTAGGGGGGAGGGGGAGAGGAACCCCCATTTTCTTTTTTAGGTGCTATGCATCGTTCGTTATTGGTGGCGGAATGAGCAAGACTTGGTTTCCTCGGCAACTGTTTTGGGACTTAATTGCAATGCTCGTCTCGTACAAATCTTTTTTTCTTCCTCCCCCTTCCCCCCCATTTCCCCTATTTGTTACTGTTGATAAGAGATCGTCTGTAAATTCTTAATATGACAATTATATGTACAGTACTGCATATTTGTAATACCCTCCCACACACCCCCCCACCCCTTTGTTCTTGTATATAACATTACTTGAATACAGAATTGTTCATTTGTGATGTTTTGCACTCGAGATATAAAAAAAAAAATCAAAATTAAAACAAGAGAACGACAAACTGCAACTGGTGCGAGTGTGAGAGAAATGTATGTCATCATCACATGGTGCGGGACCTGCTGTTGGATCTATTTATTGTGCCGTGTTTACAAACCTTTATTTTCCCGTTCATGTTTTTTATTTTTAAATCCGTTTACCCCAAACCCCCCCTTTTTTTTTTGTACACACTGTACCCCTCACCGGTTCCCCCCCTTATCAGTGTTTAGCTAGATTAAAAAAGAAAACTTTAAAAAAAACTCTGTATCATTTTGGATGTTGTGAACATGGCCGGGGGCTCGTCTGATTTCTGTAGGACGAACTTCCATGATGTTCCCGTCATGTTGCATTCAGGCGCAGGGCCGGAGAAGAAAAACCACGACGGGTGTGATTTGTTTGTCGTAGGCATCAGTTTGTCAGTTTCCACAATGATCTTCCATACATATAATATTCCTGAGACGAGGAACAAAACAATGGGGGGGTTGAATCTTTCCCAGAAGACTTTGCTGCTTCTGATTTATCTAAGCACTATATCATTTGTTTGTTGATTTAATGCTGCTTTTGTATGATTTCCGCCGTCTGGTTCGCACCGGATGGTTTTATTTACTTCATCTCTCAAAGATAACCCTTTTTTTATTTTTAAGAATAAATATTTTTGTATCCCCCACACATTTATTTTTTCATTATAATTCCCCTCACTTCATTCTTTTGTTACTTGTTGATCAAAAAATAAATTAAAGGGAGTAAAAAAAAAAATGCAGTAACTGACATTATCATTCCAGCTTCTACATAGAACATGATGTATGAATTGAAAATAAAAGAAAAAAAGCCTTTTTTCTCTACTTTTAGAAACTATCCTGAAGGCTGAAAGGCCTCGAACCACACGTTATTGGGTGCCTTCATTTGGGACGTACAAAAAGAAATAACCGTTATTAAAAAAATCATCGCTTTCTTCTGTGAAGAGTTTGGTACTGAACAAGGCTACTTGTAGTTTCTCTTTGTCTGTACCACAATCCCAAAGCCTATTCCACTGGCCCAGTTTATTCGTGAGTTTTTGTTTTGTTTTTGTAGACCCTTCAACCACACACACACACACACGGGAAAGACTTAAAAATCCTCTTGAATTGTCACAAAATGAAATAAAAATCGAGGGCATTATGTGTTTGACCAGCATGTCTCGTTATTTTGTCGTCTTTGTCTGCAACGTGTTCGCAAGTAAACAAATGCAGTTTACTTGTGTTTTTTTTTTTTAACAAAAAAAACTAGCTGTGAAAAAGGTTTTTCAGTCTCATTGACTTCCATCCAATCTCCTTTTTAATGCTCTGTTTTTTTTAAATTGAGAATATGAATGTGGGGTGAGAATATTTTAAATTGCAGAATAAACATATTGCATTTTATTTTCGGTTTAAAATGATATAGGAATAAAATAAGCTCCTGAAATCGAAGTTAAACATTTTTAGCAGTTTGTGTTCCAGTGGGGACATTTCCTAAAAGAAACCCTATCATCCTTTTTAGAGTTTTCCCTTTCCTGTAGTGTGTTATTTAGGTTGTGTGCATGTAAATGGTCTGCAAAGGCTAAAATCCCCCCCGAAACACCTCCATCGGACTCCTTTGTTTGCTTCCGTAACATAGTGGCATCACTATGTAAAACTTGCTTTTTTTGGCTAGCGCTCCAACACATTGTACGTGCTACGCTAAGGGGCGGGACATCTCTAAGCGGTTGACCAATCACAACAGAGCCGGCCAGCTAACCAATCAGAGCAGACTGGGATCTGGTTTCAGACAGAGGGTGAAAAGAGGTGCTGCAGCACAGACAGTATGAGAAAAATAAAGAGCTTTTTGAACATTAAAGCATGGAGACATGTCACAGGAGAGGCACTAAAGTGGGAAAGTGAGGGAGAGAAAATTCCTCTGGAGGGAACTTTGGGATTTTGGCCTTTGCAGACAATTTACACGGGGAAAAAAACGATATAACACTACAGGAAAGGGAAAAGCATTATTACAATTCACCACTGGAACATGAAAACGTTAAACCTTTTATCCAAGTAATATTTATACCTCTCTTTTTATGTTGTGAAAACCTTGTTTTTGACAGTGAGTTTTAAACTCTGCGGCTGTAGCAGAAGAGGAGTTTTGTCGTTGCTTTAAAGGTCACTTATCATGCTATTTCTAGGCAATAGCGTAGGTCTCAGATATATACAAATATATAAAAAAAACATGTCTATGAAGTGTTTTGCTCAAAATACCAAACAGATCACCCATTCTAGCCATGCCTGATATCCCTCTATTTCACTTCCTGCTTCAAAAGTGCTGATTTTGGGTATAAAGCTTTACAAAAAAAAAAAAGCTTATGCCTGTTTATGCGGCAGATTTTGCGGTGATGAAACGCCATATCATGGATTATCAAGGATTATTTCTGAAACAGTATGGAGCTCAAAGGCTTTCTCTCTTGCCGGTTATACCTTGTATATACAAGGTGAGTTCCTTTTTATTTCCTGCTTCTTCACACACATGCTATCTCCAGTACAGGTTAGCTCTGAGTGTTAGCGATGCTAATGTAAACACCGACCATATTACATCCAAAACAGTCGGGCATTGTTTCTGACAGCATTGTTTCTGATAGGGCCGTGGGTGTAAAGCCAGCCTACATTTCCGATATTACGTCATATCGGACGCAAATCTGGATCAGCTCCGTTGTGGCCCCGTTTTTAGAGATTTGGGTACGGAAGAAAAGAGAGAGGGTTTTATTTTCTGACGCTGCGTGAGTTCCCCGACACACCGGGGACACATCTTTATGTATAAAAGACATCAAAAAGTGCATTTTGCATGATAGGTCCCTTTTAAAGAGATTATTAATATATCTCCTAAATCGCCATTTTCCTCCCAAATGTGTCTGCAAACATTTACACACAACCTATTTTATTTGTTATCCCTATACAATTTGCAAATTAAACATGATTAACGCTCTTATATTTATATTTAGGTTCAACTCAGAGCTCTTGGTTCAAATTAGGGAAAAAGGTTACGAGATTTTTTCAATCTTAACCCTAAACCACAATTTATCTCTGCATGTCAAATACTTTTCTAAATGTATTTAAACAGGAACATTTCAATTTCCTGTGTCAAAACCTTGGACTTTATCTATGGTGCACAAAGTGCACACTTATTAAACCATAGAAAACTCATGTCAATCACTCAATATCATTCATGCAGAAATAACATTATACAATGGAATATTTAGGAGTCAAAGTTGCTCTTTGAGGCACTCGACAAGAGGAAATGTTACACTGTTTTAAAGCTGGAATATGCTGCACATGATTACCTTCATGTGTAAAGAAGTTGATATTCCCTTTTAAGTATGAGCTGGAAAGTTAATTAGGAAATGACTAGCTCTCATTTAGAAAAATACGAATCTCTTACTGTCATGCTGTTCCTAACATGACGCCAAGTCTTGCTTTTTGTGCTATTGATCGACATTTACCTCATCGCAAAGTCAGCTTTGAATAATGTTGCTATAAACCCACCCCTCCTTTTGGCCTAAGTTTAATTGACAGATTTAGTTTATTTCTGCCGGAGCTGACCAACATCAGATCAACGACTGAGTGTTCAGTCCAAGCAGCCGCCACATCAGTCTAAATGAACATTTGCTTTATTCAGCTCAGACTCTGCATACTATCTACTTTGTATTTGATAAGTTAACTAACCATATGAGTTGATGACATGAAATCAGCTGGCTCTTCACAACCAGAATCTGAAACAGGTGTCCTGCCAAGTAGTTTGTCAAATTTAGTTGAAGGAATTAGACTAAAAGTTGTTATTGTAAGAGACAATAGCAGATCATAGCCGGTGTTGTGTCAAATGATGCACCCCCGTCGTGAAATGCACCCCCTGGCCTGCCGTAAAAAGCACCCCCCGAAAAAAGATGCTTCTATTTATCCCACCCTCAAGCACTTTGGAGGGTATAGTAGTATGACTAGTACCAATAAATGGAGCACGTTTCATGTATGTGACACGTTTATTGTCAGAGATAGCAAGGGGTGCATATCGTGGCAACCAGGCTGTTCATAAAAAGCAAAATAAAAATGTTTCTATTAATCCCACCCTCAAGCACTTGATGTAAAAATAAACAATACATTGTAAAGTACAAGCAAAAGTATACAGACAGGACGTCACAATTAAATAAAAACATATATTAAATAAAAAATTAACTGAAAAAGAAGTGACGAGTGAATGCAAAATCCAGGATTCGACCACCCAACCATCAAAAAGACAACATAGAATAGCGGACTATACGTTCAAATGCGCGTTCCCGTGTCGGGGTGCATTTCACGGGGGGGGTGCAAATGATGCACCCCCATCATGAAATGCCCCCCTTGACACGGGAACGCGCATTTCTAAATGACACGTTTACACCTTAAAACGATGTTTAAAACGAAAAGTAAACGTTCAGGGTTTTTATTAATGGTAATTTTCAGACTGTGAATTGTTTAGTGGTAGCTCATATAGTCTTGATTCTTGTGGTTAAACTTTTCGCTCCGTATTTGATGGTAGTGGTGTCGAAATTCATTCGTCACTTCCTTTTCAGTTTTTGTTTTTTTTAAATCTTTTTTTTTTTCTTATTATTGTTACGTCTGTATACACGTGCTTTAAAATGTATTGTTTAATTTTACATATTTGTCATATAATAATCTAAATATATGTTTACAAATGTTACATAGTCTTTGTCAGCATATTTTTGCCACATTATGCACCCCTTGCTATCTTACATAATAAAAGTGTCACATTCATGAAACTTGCTCCATTTATTGGTACTAGTCCTACAACTATAACAAATAAAAAATGCTTGAGGGTGGGATTAATACAAACATCTTTTTGGGTGGGGTGCATTTTTATCTCCATCTCCAAAACACTCCAAAATAATGACCAAACAATCCTGTTGTAATTTAAAGGTTATGATGGAGTTAAAACAATATTGGATGATAGTCATTATTTTGGAGTGTTTTGGAGATGGAGATAAATCATGGGTCAAAATTGACCCGCGGACACCATGAACGGTAACAGTTTTCGAACACAACACAAGGGTTAAAGATGAATATGACATGTTGTTCACACTGACTTTGATTGCTTACCATGTCACTGGACTCTAATCTTCAAAATGAATGTTGATTTTATGTGTGATAATGTACACAATTTTAGTATGGATAATATGTCACTTTATTTCTTTATTTCATTCAACATGTATTATTAATTACTGTGTGTATGTAAATGTGTTGGACAATTGCAGGACTAGCCCTCACTCCATATTTGTTTTATTTCTGACTCGGATGATAAACCAGGCCTGTCATAAAATGCACCCCCCCCCCAAAAGATGTTTCTATTAATCCCACCCTCAAGCATTTTTTAGGGTATAGTTGTAGGACTAGTACCAATAAATGGAGCAAGTTTCATGAATGTGACACTTTGTGATCATTTTGTAAGATAGCAAGGGGGGGCATATTGTGATAACCAGGCCTGTCATAAAATGCACCCCACCCAAAAAGATGTTTGTATTAAACCCACCCTCAAGCATTTTTCAGGGTATAGTTGTAGGACTACTACCAATGAATGGAGCAAGTTTCATGAATGTGACACTTTTATTTTGTAAGATAGCAAGGGGGGGCATATTGTGATAACCAGGCCTGTCATAAAATACACCCCCCCCCAAAATATGTTTCTATTAATCCCACCCTCAAGCATTTTTCAGGGTATAGTTGTAGGACTAGTACCAATGAATGGAGCAAGTTTCATGAATGTGACACTTTTATTTTGTAAGATAGCAAGGGGGGGCATATTGCGATGCTAATGTAAACACCGACCGAGAAGCACAAAGGCCTTTTCACTCCCAGCCTCATGATCTGTTCTCCCTTCGTCTCATGTAGACTGACTTCATCTCTCAGACTCCTTCATGTATTTTTCTCCACTCTCTGCTTTCAATTACAGAGAGACTTTTTAATGAGGACTGCAGCTCATTACAGCCGGTGAGTCAGAGGGCAAGCTGGGAAATGTAGGTTACCTGAAAAACAAAGATCATGTTGATGAAATAACTTAAAGGTGGGGTAGGTCATTTTGGAGAAGCCAGCTCGAGTGCGCTAGAATTTGAAAATACACAACCGGAAAAAATCTGCCACTTCCTT